TTAACATTTGCCTGTGAAGAGCGTGACCTTGCACATGCTCCAAAAAGCACATTAATACTGAACAATGGGAGTTCCCATGCCAGGAACGGCATTACCAAATCCTAAACAAACATAGCAATTCTGGAAAGATTTCACTGGTTCACTCGTATTTAAAAATGAAAGAAAACAAAAAAGTATCCTTGTGATTATTTCCAAATATTCTCTATTTCACAATCTGCCTGCATAAAACTATTGTGGAAAAAAAAAATGTTACGTTTGCCTTATTTCACACAGTTTTGAAACAAGTGAGGAAATCCTCATTAGTGCCAAGAATTCACTTTAAATTACTGACTTCATGTTGTAGCTCCGTTACAAAATTACTGAGGGCAATTCTGGTTTCATTGAAGTCATAGAATCATAGAATCATTTAGGTTGGAACAGACCTTTAAGATAGAGTCCAACCATAAACCTCACACTGCCAAAATGGAAAGTTCCCCAAAACAATTAAATTTGCTGTCAGTTTAAGCTATTCTTCTCTTTTAATATTTGCTAAGATACTAAAATAGTCCTGGAAAGACTTTATGGTTTTGGTTTTTTTAAGATTAGGATTCTAAAATTTGTATGGAAAAACCACATTAAAAATTCTTCTTTGAAAATGTAGTTAGCTACAAAACATTTGAACTAAAAATGACCGTCATCTTTATAATAACTTTTATTTTTTCCATAGAAATTAATCAAGTAGCTTATAGCAATTTTGCCTCCCATGTTGAAAAAAGAAAAAGGTCAAAAACAATGAGGGAACAAATACTGCATATAACAACAATTTTAAGATAATATGCTGTCAGAATTGTACTATGTGAAATACTTAAAGACAAATAAAGCAAAGCGGCATTTTATTATGTAAGAAACACAGGAGCCAGAACTGCTCCCGTGCAGTGGCAAGTTTAAACTAAAATTCAGTTAGTCACCTATGCTCTCTATTTTATCAGTCAAGATCAGCAGAAATTTTCTTCACAGAAAGAGAATAATTTTTTACCTTCACATCCATTTTACAAAAAAAAAAATCTGTGCCATAAAATTCCTGATTAAAAAAAATACGGTTCGCCTTTCCCTCCATTTGTAAATGAATTACGTATACCCCACAGTGTGTTGCATGTGGAACACGAAACAGTATTACTGTTTTGATTCACTCACATGAGAGGACAGGTGATACACTAACCTGTTAAAAGTCATGGTGCAATTTTCAATCAGTGAAGTTCTGTAGTTCCTACAGCAAGCTTCCTCTGTCTCACTACATCATTCTTTGCTGGTGGAAGTTAAATATTGGTAAACATCTATTACTCTCAAGTAAAGTTATCACTTTCCTTAGTATTTTTATTCAGATTGCAAACATCTGTTTAAAAGAATTCTGCAGCCTATGCACGAGGAGGCAGCAGCATGAAGCAAGGAGGTGTTTCCTTCAGAAGTTGCACCACACAGTCCAGTCTCGTCATTACAAAGCCAGAGGGCAGTGCAAATGGCACCAGCTAGGTACCCTACCCAGGGCCTGGAATGGGCAATGTTCTCTGTACAATCAACAGTGCTTTCTGCAGCACTGGGATAGAGCTACCCAAAATATAGAGTCTTTGGGAAAATGAAGATGCCAAATATCTTGTTATTGTAACCTCTACGGAAAGCTCCATGTACTTAAGGATCCACCTCCCTCAGCATGAAGTAGATACAAAACATCTATTTCTTTCTCTACTAAATCTAAAGGCTTTTCATTGTGAAGTGATTCAACGTCAAATCAACTCAGAGCACCCTCTCCTTGGACAACTATACTTTGCCTTTCCCATTCCTGGTCTTAATGTTTTTGGTTGGGTTTTTTTTTTTAAATTCCAAAGAGTCACCTGTAAACAGGAAATATTTCACCAGTTTTGTGTGTGTTGGGGTGGTGTTTTGTTTATTTGCTTTTGTTTTTCAAGTACATTTCACTGCTTAATATGATATACCTCTTGAAAGAAACACATACATTAGCCTGACTTAATGAGGAAAGAGAGAAATTTGATTTACCAATACAAAATCATTTCCTATCTGCAGAAAATGCTAAAAACTCCTACAAGTTGCTTTCAGTTGAAGTCAGTTGAATTATTAACGTGCTTTATCTCTGCATTGGTATATAGACCAATTACAAGACAAACAGGCAGACTGCAGCTTGTAACCTGCAGAGGTTACAAGCTGCAATACAGATATACAAGATATTTGTTTGAATTTGGCTACAAATTTACGTCAAAATCGGAGAAGACTGCTGCTAAATGATAAGATATTACAAATAAGGGTTTTAGTGCAGTAAATAACTGATGGTAGTCCTCACCTGCAATTTTACTGAGGTGACATACCTTCCCATAGTATGAAAGCTGTGCTCCAAAGTAATTTTTCCTACTGTCTTAATACTGCATATGGTATATCAGAAAATTTGTATTAAATAATCAGTGTAATATTTTACAGCTTCCTTCGACGTACCAGAGATCACTGTTTTTAGTCAAGAATTTGACACTAAAGCAGACAAGTTTAAGCCATGTTTGCTATGGTCTCCAGCTCAGGTGTTGCATAAATTAAAAAGGTGAAATCTTTACTGAAGTCAAGAGCAAAACTTGCATTGATTTCAGTGAAGCTAGGATTTTACCCAGAAATTGTGATTCATGTCATAGTTATTTATTGTTTCAAATGTACTCCATAATTTATGATAATTTTAGTTCTTGGTTATATTTTGGAAGGCCTCCAGATACATGGGTATAGATGGTTTTTTGCATCCTCAGCAGTGCCCCAGCTAGCACACTGGATTAGCAGTATTATATAATGGATGTGAAGCATTTCTGAGATACTGTGTGGGAAGTCACCACGCTTTACAACAATTATTTTGATGCTACTGCTTTCAGATCTCACGATATCTGTGACATTACTGCTTAAATGAAAGATCGTTCATGTGCAACATACTGCATCCAATGACATAAAAAAATAGAAAAATACACAAGGCCAGAAGCCTTGTCAGTATGTTGATTCACTCTGTAATTTACAGTTCATACCACATTATTGCAGTAACTTTGTATAGCATTCACAATAACAAAAGCACCCTAGTTAACTCTTAAATTTATTAGGAAAACTTAATGCAGTTTCCTAAACCTTTTAATGTTGACTTTTCTTCACATCCAAAGTAAAAACTGAGTGACTACAATAGGAATTGGGCAGGCCTCTGTTTTTAACCATCCTATCAGCTGTACCAAGTATTAAGTGATGACATTTCATCCTAAACAAAATAGGAAAAGGGTATCTCAAACATACTAAATGTTGAGAGCTGGGATTCTGGAATCACAGTAGTTCACCAATGCCACTGGAGCAATTTCTTAAAAAAGTAAAGAGGAAGGAGGAAAGTAATGGAAAATGTGAAGTCACTAGATCTGTGAACAAACAAAAATAAATAAGATGATGCTGGGAATCAAATGGAAAGGCAGAAAGGGGATAGTAGGCAAATACTTGTACAGGGAAAACAGCAACAATTTCCACAGGCTGCTTTAAAATTAAAACTTAAAATTCAAAACTTTTTTAGCATCTTTTTTGCAGTTGCTCCTAAAAAAATCACGATGGGAACAGCCAATTTTAGCAAGGCTTTAGATTATTATTATTTGTAAAAGCAGCTAAAGAAAGATGGTAAAAGATTCATCCAGGCACAGTGGACCTTTTCTCCGATTGCTCCTAAGGATACTTGAAGGCCTTAATCTTTGCAATGCTAAAAAGGAAGCCCTGGAAGAATCATGGTTATCCTTCCCCATAAGCATGAAGAAGGCCATAATAATTTCCAATGAATGGCAAAGCAAGGCTGTTTCTAGCAAGTTTGTGGGGAAGAACTCCGGAGTACTAAAAAAAAAAAAAATTTTTTTAGTAGTTTTCAACTTCAGAGATACAGTTTAAAATGATTACATATTTTCATAATCCAGTTTTCAAGTTACTTAGGAAATAAGCTAAGTTTAAAAAAAAACTGGTAAGCATCAGGCATGCTACATCAAGGGAATTCTTAATGTTTACACTGCGATATAACTTTATAAATTTAGTTCTAGTAGGAAAACAGTTACTTTAAGATCAGAAAACATATTTAAATATGACAATGAAATAGTAGTACTCCGGAGTACTAAAAAAAAAAAAAAATTTTTTTAGTAGTTTTCAACTTCAGAGATACAGTTTAAAATGATTACATTAATTTCATATCCAGTTTTCAAGTTACTTAGGAAATAAGCTAAGTTTAAAAAAAAACTGGTAAGCATCAGGCATGCTACATCAAGGGAATTCTTAATGTTTACACTGCGATATAACTTTATAAATTTAGTTCTAGTAGGAAAACAGTTACTTTAAGATCAGAAAACATATTTAAATATGACAATGAAATAGTAGTGTAGATCAGTTTAAGCCAGATAACTGAAAGTGACAATTTACAGTTAGCAATTCTATGGCTAATGTACTGAAATAGAACTTTGTTGTTGTTGTCAAATACCATAGCAAGGAATTGAAAGACAATGACTTATTCTTTCTGAATGGTTGTGTTCTTCAAACATAGCAGACAAGCATTTTCTTTAATGAATTATATTACTTTTTCATTTTAGTCTTAGCATGACTTTTCAGATACTGCCTTCAATGAAAAATAAGAGATTGAAGTTGTTAAAATGAGTATTATGTGATTGATTTAAAAAACAATTAGAGATTTGAAACACCATATTTCAAAGGTCAAAGCAATCCAGTTTCCTCAAACAAGTACTTATGCCGCCTAAGATTTATATCTAGGACTTTGCAAATTAAGTTTTACACCGGCCTCTCCATGAGCTGTATTTTAAGAAAACACTATATAAGTAATAGTGGTTTTTAACTATTACACATGAATCAGCTTGTTTCAATGGAATTAAAAATAATGTATCTTTTAAAAAAAAAATCTTGTCATCAGAAAAAGTTATTTTTCCTCTCAGCTACTGATTTTAAGGACTATAGTAAATGAAGTAAGGAGTAAATGATACCCTTCCCTCATTCTTTTACGAATTATATTACATGCGGTCTTGATCAATTGGAAAGAACAGAAACAAATCTTGTTACACACTTGGCAAACATATCCCTCAATCAAAATTAACTTAGCCTGAAATAGAAAATCTGTGACAGTCAGAACTTTTTTTTAATTGAGCTACCTATTCATGAAGAACAAACTAATGCAAACAGATTTATTACTAAAATTATGAAATTATTTGCAAGTTGTTTGGAGAAGAACTCAACTGTGTATGGTTTCAGTTTCAGAATGTTCTCAAAACAAGGAGAATTTGTGCAGAAGCAAACAAATACATAAACTCAGAAGTTTCAAAAAACCACCACAGTGGAAATTTTTCTTTTTCACATTTATCCAGAAAAGTCTAATGTCTCAGCACAGTGCCATTTGTACAAACTGATTTGTGTGCTATGCCACACTTGTGTAAATTACACAATAAATCCCGTAAACACTAAAAAGATAACACTGATATTTCTCAACTAAATTATGGATATACCTGTTGTAAAAATGTAATGTGAGATCAGGAGCAATATTACACAAAATCCTGAAAGTCACAGCATAAACCTGAGATTTTGGCAGTTTTATCAAAATGTCCTAAATTACTCTGTATGCATCACTAGTTCTCATGTCTTACTCACCATGTATATTTGTTTGTCCCAAACAAAAGGTAGACAACTTTTTTTGTCCAACAATACATTAAACCAAAAGTGATTAGGTATTATCAAATTAAATATCATAAATAAAAAGTATTTACAGTATTTTCTAATTATTAGACAACAAAATAACCAATTAAATTGTGCAACAAACTTAAACACCCAACATCAAAAATGTGAAGTATTACTTAAATCTTCACATACTGATTTTACAAAAAACTATTAAAATATTTAAAAATTTCCATTTTATCTATTTTAAACAAGGAAATTTCAAAAATGTTTAAGACTATTAAGAGTTATCAATTACACAGGCACTTCACATGTAAACAATCTACAGTACAACTGAAAAAAATATTTGGCACCAACCTAGAAGACTGGAAAAAACTCAATAAAATATGTCCTTTTCCCATTGTACACTGTTTTGTGTAATCACCATACACTCAGCCTAAATACTGGCAATGTTAGAAGTGTGTAAGTTACAATCAGGAGTGCAAAAAATAAAGAACGCAAATATTAAGCTTTCTGAGAGAGTGAAAGTGGATCACAAGTGATCAGTCGCTCGCATTTTTACCATCATACCATCGCTACATTTTTGTCTTACCTTTAAACCAAATTATTGACTTGAAAGACTAAAGGGGGAGGGAAGGGGGGCGTGCTTTGTACTTCTAAAATAATTCGAACAATATTTTCAATGTAGGAAAAGAAATCCAGCATTTAACTGTAATACTGTGAGATGTTAAATGGCAGCTTTTAACTTAAATTAACTGGAAAGAGAACCTGATGCTACCACAATCTCTTTGTGCATCCAATTGCAAAAGAAACAAATAATAATTATGTTCTTTTAACTGTCAGCTGACTCCAAGGTTTTCACGTACAACTCCAAGTAAGGCTCTCTACAGCATCTGGACAGATACTAGTTTGATGGCTTGGATGTTCCCATGTAGGAAGCTGAACTGCCTCAGAGCAATCCAAATCAACAGATTGAATGGTAAGTTGTCTAGCTTCCAAGAAGTCATGTCACATGGAGGAAAGCTGAGATACTTTCAATGTTGGCAATTCAAGCAGAGCTTGAACTGTGAGGCCAACCTTCACCAGACCCCTTTCCTCCAGAATGTGATGAGGCAAGCAAAGTCTCTCCTGCAAAATAAAGCAGTACGTGTATCAAGCTTCATTCATTTTTTCCCCAAGGCAGGTAACAAAGGCATTCTCTCTGAAGTCACACATACATCGCTATAAGACACTTGCATAGAAAATGTCTTTGGCCTTGAATTTCGCATATGGTCCTCTACAGTAACAGAATGGTCAGAAACTAATTATATCTAAGATCTGTTTAAAGTTTTAAACTATGACAACAGCAGAAGATACATAAAAGACTGCTAATTTCATAAAGCCAAAGACTGTTTCTTTTCATAAGCAGAGCAAGACAAACAGGATGATGGGCATTGTTGGCTCAGTGGCCTACTTCCCCCTTTGCCTTGTTTTGTAGGCTTATTACCAATTTTTCCCTTGGGAAAACTTGGAAGTGCAGATAGACTCGGTCCTCAGTAATGAGCCATTCCCCAAGAAAGTCATCTTTCAGTTTCAGAATTTAGCACAACCTGGACAATTTTCCCAACTGCTAGCTTGTCTTACATGTAATTCAGGAGGTAAATCTTAGCATCTCTACTTCTGAATGGCCTGTGGCTCCACGCTAGATAGAAGCTGTGACAGAGCAGTAACCCCGGCTTCTAAATCCATGAACTAATTTTCTTGTTCCACTAAAAAGGGTCAAGGGAGTTTTTTGTCTCTTGTAATATGCAGGAAATTATTTGACCTTCAGGTTTCCCCCCCCTCCTGATACAGGGAAGTGAGAGGATGAACTTGGGCAACAGAAGCATGAATAATGGGCTGCAATTACAGTCATGCTAGAAAAGATAGCTAATCAGTTAGGCTACATTTCTGGAATTGCAGGATTTTCCTAGGCAGACACTGAAATTCATGCCAAAGTGAGTTGCTAAACTCAAGACTTTAAAATATTACAACATCATCCTCTCGCATCAATTCTTTTGTTTAGATAATTTAATTTACAAGGTGGTCAGTATTATTTTTACTATAAGGAATGACTAGAAACCCATAAAGTAGCTTCCTCAAGTTCATGCCACAGGCCAGAAATGGGACTTCTTTTCACATCTTCAAGTTCCCTGGTCAGTGTTATAATCACTATTGCTCCCTGAATTAAGACCCAAAAAAACCCCAACTTCAGTATTTGCTGACAATTTCTGTGGTTATTATTAAGAAGTCAATAAAGCAATTAGTATACCTGTGGAACGCCCAATTTTTTACAAGCATCGAGAAAGTTTTCAACATTTCTTCGGCACTTTGCCATACTGAGTTTAGGCTGTAAAGACAGGATGTTAGATCTTCATCATACATTTGTGAAGGATTGTATATTTCTGATGCAAATTCAGTAACAGTTGCTAAAACACAGAACAAATTCTATGAAGACTCAGTATATGAAAATAGTTCTTAAACTAAACTTCTGAGCCTCGTTTAGTGCTTCTTGCAGGAAAAATTGAAGTGAGGAATGTAGTCAATTAATATGGTAAACACGATTCATGATGTTTTAGTATTGAACTTCAAAAGCTTGTTTTCACGTAAGATGCAACTAAAGTAAGATAAATGACTTACCACTGCTGGTGATGGTACGTGAATGCTGGCAACAGAACGTGGCCTTATGTGATTGGCTAAATGGCAAAGAACTACTCCATCCATCAATGCTGCTCCAATGTCGTCTGGCAAAATTACTTTCAACCTTGATTCAAGATTCTATTAAAAAGTCCATAAGTAAGTTACTTTCAACATTAGCTAGTTTTTAATTCTAAATCCAGGGTATTTTAAAGCATTCAGTTTAAAAGGGACATTTTAATACTAAAGTGAAGTAAATGGAGTCAACTCGCACTTTACTGAGTACAAATATCCTTTTCTCTTTATCATTCTCTTATCCCTTTATCATTAACCTTACATTCCCTTTGCTTGTTTTTTGGTTTTTTTTAATGACACAATTACATACATTGAGAAAGACATTCAGCCAACAACTACCATGAAAGCCATATGATGAACTCACTACTCATAATAGGAAAGCACAGAATTTAAGGACAGAAATGTTAGGCTGAATACCTCATTAGCTGTCAGTGTGCAGAATTTGTGGGTTGAAATCATACACAATTTTACTAGGAAAAGGAGGAAAAAAAAAAGAGGGGAACACAACCACTTTAGGCACGGGTATTTCACTCGTGCAGATGACAGTTAAATAGCTGAGGAAAGGGTGGCCAAGAAGTGCCCACATTTGTGTTGCAGAACAGAGAAGGTAAGCAGGGAATGTTTTTTCCCCACTCCAGCAACAAGCCTTCACTGCTCAGGAAATGAACTGTTTCAAGACAGAAACAGCCTTCATAGAAGTCACACCCCAAATTAGTACTGCCCTGGAAAGCAGAGCTACTACGATTTACAGTTAACTATAACTGTTAAGTATCTTGAGAACGATAACTTACTGGAAGTCTGAAATTTAGATTCCATTCAGTATTGTATGACTTGTAGCAACTTTCTACACTCAAAAAGCATTTGGCTATTCAGAAGACTATGACCATCTTTCTTCAAATCTCAGATCAAATAGCAGTAAACAAGCAGACTTATTGCCTCCCTAGGAAAACCTAAAACCTCAGAAACCTAACGAAAAAAAAAATATCGTTTTTCATTTCACTTAATGTTTCAGCTAAAAAAACCATTTAGTTCCTGGTTAGTATTTTGGTTGGACCAAAAACAGTACCAGTGTAGCCTGTTACATGAAATTCCTTGGGAAGAAATATCACTACAGACATGCCCTTGTACAACTGTAATGATTTGCAGGCCTTTATTATAAAGGTTTAAATTGTGGTACAGAGCAAACTAAACACACTGCATGCATATAGTAAATAATGGTACATACATTGCGAAGCTGTCTTATTTGTTCCCTTTCTTCCCTTAAATGCTCCATTTTCCTCCTCATTGTAAATCCAGGATCCACTGCACCATAGTCCTGGCGAGATGCACGGCTGAAAGCTATTAAATATTAGTGAAGTTAGTTTTCAGAATTCAGATTAAAAAATGCAATGACTAAAAATCTACCAACAAGGATAAAAATGGGAAAAAAGCTGCAGAACTTTTCAGAACAAATTATTTAAGTATCCTGATGTAAAATATGTTGTCTATGAAACTTATCTTTCAAATAAAATACACAGACCATCTTACTTAAGTGCAAATAGATAAATAGAAAATATGGAAACAGAATTGACTTCAAAATTCAAATATCTGTTTGAGATATACAACCCCATTTGCACTTTTCCAAGCATATCTTGAAATCTAGCTTGAAATTATTTTCATTGTTTTATTTTTAATCAAGTATAAAGTCTTTATGGAGACTAAAAAAAGGGACAGAACTCCCTGATGTAACTTACAATGAAAGATTTAAAATATATAAACACAGTCACATATATGCATGTTTTAGGTGTACATAAGCAGAGACACAGTGATTGCTTATTAAAGAACTAATTGACAAATATGAAATGTCTCATCTAAAAGTTCAGAGTTCTTCTTTAAAAAGGAGGTCTTAAATAATTACATTCACTTTACTATTCTTCATGGTCAGAAAGCCTTCAAATGACAATTCTATTATTTTATAGAACACTGGCAAATAAAAACTCTTCTGTAGCAATACCACTGTATCCTTAAGTATTTTACCCTATGCTTCTGAGAAAAAAAAAATCAATACTTACACCTTTAGAATTTTATATATTGTTTCTAATAGTTTGAATTTTAGCAAGAGATCTAACAATCAAAAATAACAGAAATTTTATAGATACTCTTGAAATCACTGCTCTGATTTTATACATTATGAGAGTATGTAGTTCGTATACAGAGAAATACAATTGCATGTTACCGACAGTATCTATGGAAGCATCTAAAACCACAAAGATTTTGGCTTGTAATTAAGAAACAAAATGCCATTCACTTTCCTAGAACTGAGTGAAAGGGGTGCTGCTCTTTTACAGACATGAGCTGGCAGTGGCTCCTAGGAAGCCTACTACCACACTGAGAAAACATGGGCTGAAAAGTCCTAACAAGCCTGCTTCCTCCTATCAAATCTGCACCTTCCTGCAGCCAAGGATGTAGGTAACTCAGAAGCCTCTAAATTATCACAGCCAGGCACGTCCTGGTACATGCAACTAACCTAACTATCTCTGGCACACAAGTTTCACACAACTGCTTACAAGTCTCAGGTGACTTAAGGGCCCTGAAGAAGGCACTTGCATGACCTCAGCCAGACATATGTTACTACTGAGGGCTCACAGACTAGTATTAAGGAGGTCAAGCTTTGCTACCATAAATACTGAATGAAATTAAACTGAAGAGTTGAGATGATTCTTTCTTAATGAATTTGCACAAAGACTGTTCCCTTAAAAACAGAGAAGAGTGGTATCAGCCAGAAAAAGGATTGCACAGTGGCTTTTCCAAACCATGTTTTACACTGTTGACATCCAAAGTCACATAAACACTTGCAAATAAAAGAATACTGTAACTGCAAAAAAAAGGTATTATTTCTACCTAGATTTCAGAGGACTGAAAGTCTGCTTTAGACAATACAACTTTCTTATGAGGATACGGCAGAGTCTTGGAAGAGTCAGGGTGCAACAAAGCACTAAGCCATAGCTCCTGGCAAAGCTCTGCTCAGAGCATCCTTTCATAGGACAAATTACACAGATCTATTTCTCTTGAAACCCTCCTGCCTCAGCCATCAGGTCTCAAGAACAATTGCATGCTCTTTCCCTGTTCTTTGACAGTGACTAAATATGCACAAAATAAATCAGTGGGGAAAAAATTTAAAAAATTTTAAAAAAAAAATCACTGTGCAACTTGGGGAACTTTCAATTATTTGTTTGCCAAAGCAGCTGTCTATGTCTTTCCCAGTACTATGTTTGTGATAAGTACACTGAGTCAATTGCTATACTGTGGCATCTCTTCATATTCATTCCAATTCATGCATCTGCTATTCTTACCATCTATTCCAGCCCAGGAAATAAACATCTGTTTTATCATGCTATGTTAGAGAACAGCAGCTTACCTGACCTTGGTTTGAGACCAAATGGACCATGAGTGTTACTATCAGTCCTTTCATAATCCTGTTAAAAGAGATAAAGTCAATTTTCTTCCATTTATTAAAAGAATTAACTTTTGTTCCCATCAAGATAGTGTTTAAATTATTCTTCCCTAAGAAAAGTGAGTCCTTCTGCTTAACTGTAACACTCTTCTGAAGGGGACAGTATAAAATAAATGGAACAAAAGTAACCTCACTACATGCAGATAATTATCTTACTGAGGAAGAAAAGCAGCACCAGATTAACTAAAATCTACTCTAAACCATTTCAAACTACTGCAAACCATTCTGAGAACAGAGTTCTAAGCCAGCTGTAAGCAAATACAAATATCCTCCCAACGCTTAGCATCAAAGTATTTCTTAAGAAATGTTTACTTTCAATTATGAAGATCAGGTTTTTCCTCATTTCACCATCTAAAAAGAGATGCACACAGTAATTTGGTATGTACATGAGAGATCTTTATTTCAACTCCTTTCACTGTATCTGGGAGATATTCTCATTCTGCTCCCTCAGGTTCCTTATAGACATGAGGTGGAAATGTTCAATCTTTGGTATGCTTTATTCAGAGCTCAGTAGTGCAGTGCAGCCACCGTGAGACTATGTGGATGTTCCTTAAAAAGGAAAGCAACCAGTGAATGAAGCTGCAAGGCTGCACCATAAAGGCGACAGCCAGAAGTGTAAAGGATGAAACTCTCTAAGAATTGTCAGTACCTATGGGTTCCTTGTGATATATAAAGTACTAAACCACAAGTTTTACTTAAAATCCTCTGGATGGCTAGTGCATAGGGGACACCTATAAAATATGGTAAATTCGATTTTTGTTTTATTAGCTATTTTCATTAGGAAAGATAATGGAGACAAAGCAATGCACCTTTCTACACACCAGTCAAAAAGAAGAAACAGATATTTGCAAAGGTAAAACAAGTTGTAATATCTGTCTCTAGCGTCTATCTATTTTTGAGTGTTTATTATGATGAAATATTTCTAATTGCCGTTTCAAAAGAAACTAACAGCTTTATATCTGCATGGAAAACCTGGTGACAAGTAATGTGCACAAAGAAATGTTTGTTGAATGAAGAACAAAACCACAAACTTGTACCTCAGACGACACAGGAGACTGTGGAGACACATTAGTATTATCACTGTCTTGCTAAAAAGAAATCAAAGAGATGATATTATAAAAATGAAAATTATGATTTAACAAGAAACATGAAATTATGAAATACACAAGACATGAGACACGCAACATTTGTCAAGTATGCGACAAACTGGCAGCAACTAAATTTAAAAATGTGTAAGTCAAGGAAACACTGTTCACTGTTTATGTCAAATACTACTTTTACATTACTTTTACTTGATGGGTGAATTAACTTTCCTATTACCGAAGCAAGTAAAATGTCCTACTTTTCCCCAGTACACAATCTTGATGACTTTTTTCAAATAAAGTATAATACTTATTTCTGCTCCAGCTTTGGAATGCAAAGTTTGTTTGCATGGACTCTAGCCAGTGTTCTCCTGTTCCTGTGACATGTAAGTGTTCATAAAAGACAAACGAATAAAACGTCTTCTTAAATATTTTACACAATTACTATTTCTCACCTCATCATTTTCATTTCCACTTGAACTCTTTCTAGAAGACTTATACTGCAAAACACACACAATTATTACTTTAAAATGGAAGTATGGTTTTCATTTGAACTAAATGGCTTGATATCACTCAGATGTTACTTATTACTGGTGAAGCTGCTGAGAAAAAACACATTACAGAATCAAAGGAGCAAAAAGAAATAAAACAGAAAAGGAACATCTAGTTCCTAGGCTAGTCAAGATCTTTGTTATGTCGATGAGAGGATAAGAGCATTTTCAAATTAAATACTTTTATAATGTGAACTCTGACTGCATGTGACAGTTGATCCAAGTGAAAAGATCTTAACAACTGCTACTCTGAAGCAGTTAGAAAAATCATGCAACCTGTGAAAGTTAAAGTTACATAACAAAACACACTGTAAAAGTAAGATTGCTTACACTTTGTGAGATTGACTTGACATTGTAAAAATATTAAATTAACAAAAAAAGAATCAGTATTTCCTTTACAACTTCAAAGCCTGATCACATCCTTTTATCTATTTAAGACCAGCGCTTTTTCTACAGTTCTGTCTGATTTGTTGCACACTGCCTTCATCACTGTCCCACTTCCTGATTATCCTGAAAGTGGAGGAAATGAAGGAGGGATTGAAGGAAGAAATTTACAAAAGCAGTATTTAAGAAAATAAGTGTGTTTCATTGTCTGCAGAGCAAGCGTACAAAAAATAGAAAAAAACATGCAGCTAGAATTAAAAAGATCCATCACTACAAAACCCTGATAAGTGCGTTGTGTGTACATGGCTGGCCTACCCATCTTTATGATTAACACCTAACACAGGCTAAATTAAGAGACTAACTTTGGAACTGGAAGGATGGCTCTCCTTCAAAGATCTGACTTTTAGGGGTACATATAGGTTTTAGTTAAAAGAATTTCTTAAAAAGGAAGAAAAACCTGACTTGCAACTACGTTCTTTAATATTAATAAACACGCAAACTTACATAGCTCTGTTATAGAAAGTTGTATTTATTAGTTATGCATAGAAGATGCTTGTCTTCAAAGTTATAACTGAGCACTGATGGACTGTAAAATTGAGCAGCGTTATAGAGTTCAATTTTCAACAGCTTTCAAACTACATGCTGACAACAATGAACAGCATCTCTCTTGAAAATCCAAGTCTAGGACAAACAGCCTTTGTTGGCTATCCTACTGCCACTCATTTTCTGTGCAAATTAAACACGTCTTTTGAAGAGTGACTGAATAAAGTGTCAGTTGTTGGTTTGTGGGATTCTTTTGTTGTTTTGGGTTTTTGGTGGTTTTGGGTTTTTTGTTTTGAGGGGGTTTGGGGGGATGGATTTTTTTTTTGGTTGTTGGTTTTTTTGTTTTTTGGTTTGTTTTTTTTTTTAAACTATGCACAGAGTACAGGTAGTTCTGGGGTCAGATAGAGACCTACTGCATATATCATTGTGTCCTGGTTTCGGCTGGGATAGAGTTGATTTTCTGGATATTTCTTGGGCTTATTTCCTGTACGTTTGCGGTACAAGGGAATACATTACTTTGGCAGCTGATAAGGCAAAGCCTAATTTTCTATGCCCTGCAGACCTCCGCTGCCGACTTCTATTTATACAGGCCTTTGGCCAGTTCTGTGTTCATGTTTTTCCACCATAATTATCCATATCAAAGCTAGCACATAGTAATTCTTTTCCATTGTGGATACGCTAACAAGAATTTCAGCTTGGATGTAGCTAGGATCCAAAACAACTACAGACTATTCTGGGGGGGTGGGGCGGGCATTTTGCTTGATAAAATTGTCTTCAATGGTAAGATTCTTTTTACATACTTAACGCAACAAAGATTTCTGGTTCCAGCGAGACTTTAGTACAATGCCACAAAAAAAAGGAGTTCTGATTCTCACAGGCATTTTCCTACCCTTCTGCTGCACAGTACAATTGCACAATAAGAATATATAATATGTATAATAAAGATGCTTTATAAATACTTCTGGATGCTGATCCAAGTAAATTTTCCCTGTTCTAATGATGCCCATTGCAGTACTTTGGCATGTATTCTTAAGATATTAATGTTTGTCAGTACAGATATGATTATTCAATGAGCTTTTTTGCCAAGAAAGCATGGACACAATATGAATTGTATTTTCACTGGTTTCTCAGAACAGCAGTAGTACCTTTTTTTTTTTTCCAGTTTGCCATGGAAGACAGGCTTCATTTCACTTGCTTACTGCCTTGTTTTTGCAAATGAAACTATCAGTGACACAGTATTTTTTGTTACTGGTACAGCCTGCTTAATTCACTTTTGAGACATGTCTATAGCTGTATGCAATGTGATTTCAGGTATCTGCTTCCATCACAGAGCTCAAAACTGAAATCTATATTAGCATTTAAAGACATCTTTTAAAGTTATGAGGAATCACTAATGCAGGTCTTCTGTATTGATAGCACAGCTGTTTAATGAGTCAAATGGCTGAATTCTGTTTTACTTATAAGTTTCTCCCCTTCCCCTCAAAGGCTGCAGGGCAAAATTAATTTAGGGATGAAAACCCTGGAAAGAGGTCAGTAGAATTCAAGTTAGGATACAACCCCATACACTCTTCAGGAAAAAACATTAATAGCTCCTATAATCACAAGAATATCTGAGCTGTACGGCATGCTCTGTTTTTCCTAGAATTTAATTTCTTTGAAGTTCTGTAGCATTTCATAAAGATGTTTGATGGCAAAAGATCCAAGAAACTAATTTCGTAAGTGACAAATTTAACTCACCCTAGCACTGGTCAGAATTCTCCTATTTCTCTACCATACCTCAAAACAAATTTTATCTAATGCTGCTATAACTTCGTATCTGTTTTGCAATAAGCGAACACTGACATCTGGTGACCAATGGTACACACTACAGCAGCAAAGTAATACAGAGAAAATTTCCTCTCTAAAATGCAAACTAATGCAGTGAGAACCAAAATGCATAAATCATTCTTATAACCAAGCTGCACAAAAAGGTAATGCATATTTTCCTTGCACTACAAAACAAAAAAATCCCTCAAAATGGATGGGGAAGGGCTAATGACTGAAGACTAGCTCCTGGCTTTACCAGAAAACAACTGTAAATTACTTTCTTTTATTTAAAGGATAAACAAAGTATTCGGTCGATTTTTTCCTCCTGATTTTCCTGCACTCTCACATTACCCTAAATACATACACATACATATATATTATTTAACTCAAAAGAGCCAGATAAAAAATTACAGGTTACATGCAAAATTAAAAGCATGACAACCTTTGAGGTTTTCTTACCTTTACTTATATAGTTTCTTCTACTCTCATTAAAAAAAAAAAGTGTCACCCACCCACACTCCCCCCATTACCTTGAAATACTCTTTCCTAATTTGTTTACTTCTCCTTCTTTCTTCATTCTGCCAAATCACTGGCTGTGTTTCTGGCCAGTGCTGCTCATCCATTGAATCCTTCTGGTTTTCCAGTGGCTATAAGGTTCAGAAATATTTTACATAAAAGGTAAATATACCTCCTGTGCAGTAACACAAATTATTATGAACCACAATTATGACTTGTTTGCCTCTCTCAGTCTAGCTTTATGACATGAAAGTGTTATCAGTCTTAATGGTGATTCTGGTAGAAATCACATTTCCTTTCAAATCCTAAAACATATTTCATAGAAGAAAAAGAATCTATGAAATAATTCTTAAGAAAATAAACACCCTTTTCTGCACTGAGCCTAATTTTTGCAGGTATGTTAGGAAGCCACCTAAGGCTGCCATAAATAACTTCAAAACACCAGTTAGGAGTGTGGTTAGCCACTAGCATATCTAATTTCTCAATCTGAATACTCATTGCACAGGAAAAAAAATTGTCTTCTTGTAGCCATCCAAGTATTTGTCTGCTGTTCCTATCTAAAAGATTATACACATCAACTAGCTGTAAAAGAAATCTCAAAGTATGCAACATATTCTGAAGACACAGCTAAACTAGATTTATTCTTAAAATAACAATGAATATGTATGAACATGTCTATTTTATGAAAACTGAAAGCAGACAATCTGAAGGGACCATTTCATAATAAGGCTAAAACTACATTTCCAACTATTTCTTCATATTAGAATATCAGGCCATTTAAAACAATTGCAAATACCTCATGGATTAAAATCTAAAATAAAGAGTACTCTACAATTTCACTGCAATTTTACAGTATCATGCAAGCCTCCCAGTGAGGTATGGGGAATGGAAGGCCTATATAATTCAAACCATTTAGAAACTTTAAAAAAAAAAGAACATTATGGTGAGGCAATAAAATTTATATGCAAAGAAATACTAAAACCAAGTAAGTAAAACTTATGTCTCATTAGTTTCAAGATCTAAAAGCTAGTACCATATGCTCCATTACATACAAGTCAAATTATCTTGAAGCGCAAGTTCTTCAAAGGTTTTATATTTTCCACCACAATTACATAAATACAGTCACTATGTGTGTAAGCAACCATATGAATGTATAAAAATGTTTTCTGCCAGAAATACAAAACCAAAAAACAAAACAAAAACAATCACTCAAATATGAAGCCACCACATTTACATTTGAATATTTACCTGCCAGCTGTATGGGGACACTGGGGAATTCACTTCATCTGCTGAGACACTAAAAATTAAGATGAGAGGCATTATAAAATTTACTACTACTTGTGTACTTTAAAACCAAGTTACTTTAAAACACCAAAAAAGTGAACACTATTAAAAAACAGCTTCTCTGCAGCACTACAGTATTTTTTGCCTACCTGTATAAGGATGTCACAATGTGGCTAAAACGTATGACCATTTGACTAAAATCTCAAATCATATTTCATTCTCCTTTACCATATGCTGACAACAGGTCTTCCACGCTACAGTACTTTATTCAGATAAAGCTTTTTCCTAAGCATGTTGATCTTTAGAGATTACTAATGCACCTTCATTGTTTTATTTCTCAAAGCAATCAATGAAACATTTTGTTCAAAGCTCACAAAATATCTATTCTTAAACTTCTGGAAGACTCACATGCTTCATTTCACTGTTAGCTCTATACAGTAAAGTAGAAACTTATAGGGAAGGGAAAAATATTTTAAATGGGACAGTGAAACTGCAAAATCAAAAAATACACTTTGGAACATGGACTGCCTGAGATTACTGAAAATTCAGAGGTAAATGAAAGTGTTTAGATTTGGTGTCACTTCAAATTTTTCTTTCTAAATCTTTCTGTGAAATTCACTTCTATCACCTTACCAGCAACCATTTCATTCACATTCTGACAGCTGGCTTAGAAGCTGTGCAGCATACCAAAAGGCTAACAGCTGGGGATTGAATGCAAGAAGGACATAACACCATAAGCAATTATAATAAATCCTAAAGGGAAAGCAACTAGGTGCTTAGCTTCTGCTACTTTGTATTCCTTTCCTTCCTGTTTGCCTCAAACCAATAATGCTACTTTTAAAGCTGTTAGGCATAAGAAATTTGTCTGAATCACGTCCAATAGCTTGATAAGCAATCCAGTTGAGAATTGCAGGAACTGACACAATAAATAATTGAGTTTTGCTGTTGATACATATGTATCTATTAACTATGACATGTTCAATAAGTGTAAATTCTTTAGGGATATGACAGTCTTTCTACTCTCTTTGTATGTTCCTTACGCAGTGTGTGATTTGGGTTCCAATATATTAGTGCAATAAAACAACAAACAACCTGCAACTTCTACCATATCTTGTGTGCACACCTCACAGAAGGGGGTGGGGAAGTGATTGGGTTTTTTTGGGGGTGTGTGTTTTTGTTTGTTTTTGTTTTGTTTTGTTTTTAAGTCTCAGAACTGTTTCTGTTCATTAACAAAACAGGGAAAGGTAAATTTAACATTTCCTGGATTACCCTATAATATGAAGGCCTAATATAGCTGTAACCTACAATAGGTGACAGCATCCCAAAGAACAGAAACTGTATGTTAAGTAACCAAGGACTGTAAAGTTCCAAATGCAAGTGAATAGTTGCAGCATGGTTCATATAACCACAGGACATGTGCACAACTAGCTCTTTAAAACTGCAAATACCGATGAGAGAGAAGATAGCCAAAATCGGATGTATCATATTGAAATATCTACACTGTGTCCCTCTTCCGTTCGAGTAAATGCTTTCCTGATGTGTACCTGAACTGTAGAGAGCTGTTACCACCCCCAATCCTCTCTTAGCAACACCAACAGCAGTTATAGCTTTTGTCTCCAAGATTCACAGCCAAACTACCGTCTGGACACAAGCAGATACAGATTCTTTTGAAGGTACAGATTTTAAAAGACTCTGGGTCTGGCAAAAATCACAAAAGCCACCGTTTGAATGGAGTTCTCACTAGGAGGCTGCCAGTAAGCTCTCCCTTGTTAGCTTAAAAATTAAAATAGATTATTTCTTGACCAAACTGATTAAAAGAACTGATCTAGGATTCCTTAAGGGAGGGAGGGCTGAAAACTTGCTAAGTTCTTTCTCACCCATGTAGTCAGAAATGGGAAGCTGTGACTTCCCAATTTTCTAAGGAAAAGGCTCTGGGTATTTTTGTTTGTTGTTGATTTGTGGTTTTTTTTTAATTCAAAGAAAGAGCATAAGAGTACAGATCCTAAAGACAATCAATTCCTCATTGACACATCGTCCACAAACAGTAAAGGTTTTGCAGGCTGAAATCCCAGCAACACTTTTCCAACAGCTCTTAAGAGCACAAAAGGACTGCCAGGGAGGAAAACTTTAGATGCCTAAGCACAGCTACAGTGCCATTTTATGTAACACAGGATCTAACATCTGCACAGGACTGTTACCTATGGGAGACATGACCTTCTGGACTGGAACTGGATGTCTAAAACATCACTGAATGCACTACGGTGCCTATCTTTAGGCACCTGAATTGCTGCCATAATCAGACCCACAGATTAGTTTCTGGATGACATCAACTTTCCTAAAGGCTCAAAAGAACAGTTTTTTTCTTTATCTGAAAGAAAGCAGCTCAAGAACAGATTTGTGTAGCTTCTATTTCATCTTGAGCTAAAAACATTATGACAGAAGATGGCAGTAGCAACACAAAATAAATATAAAAATTAAATTAATAAAGTATTGAAAGCTGTGATACATTTAAGTATATCAATACCATTTTTCAGATTCCATTGGCTGCTTTGGCCTGTTCCTCGTGCTTACTGAAACGGAATGATTAAGAAGCCTAGAAAGAAGAAAAATACATATTTATTCAACAGCTTTGTAGCTAAACCTTTTTCTTAGAATATATGTTACTTTCACTGCGTAACATTTCCTGTAAATAAAAAATTTTGAACATTCAGGTGACATTTTCCATAAAATTAGAATATCTATGTTTGTACACATATGAAATCCAAGCCCAATCCTGCTTCCATTTAAATCAACAATATTGTTTCCAGCTCTTGAAATATTTCAAATTCTGCATTCTAAGGAAGTATAAAACCTGATGATAATTCAAACCAAAATGAAGTCTCCTCTTATTTTTCTCCCTAAATACATACTATTTCAACTGATCTCACATCTGTGTAAAGTTATGCTTCCCTCAACACAAAAGGCCCCACTGTTCACTAAAATTAGAAGACAGAAGATAGTCAACCTAAAGCAGACAAGAAATGATACACAGATTGAGCACAAGAAGTCAGTCAGTAGGACCAGGTAAGAAGGTAGCTGAGTAAAACACTGCAAGTGCAAAGGAAATATAGGGAAAAAGGAGAGGTGGAAAATGGAGAAACACAGGCTAAGAACTAAACAAAAAGTCTAATGCAGAAATGAACCAATGGAAATTCCATTTTTCTAAATGGTAAACAGTCAAAAAAGCCTAAACTTGCATAGAGATTCAGAAATGTTTTTTCATCTGGAACACATACCAGACATGTGCGCACACACAGGAAGGTATGAGCTATTATGGATGTATAAAGTGTTAAAAATAACAAAACAATCAGTAACACTTAAAATTAAACGTTTTCAAGTAAGAATCACGTTGAACAGTAACTAGAATGAATAATTCTAAATTCTTGGAGGTAGTAATATTATACTTCAACACTGACTTCATGCGCAGAACTGATCAAAGTATATTTACGCTGAATTATATAAAGAACTAGTATGCATTAAGAATCAGAAACAATTAGAACACCAACTATTCAATGGAAGAAAGTAACAGTAAGCACCTTTTTATATTTCATTATCATTACATAGGGCAGTACAACCACTAACTTCAAATGATTGATGATTTTCAGACTTCTGATTATTGTGATAACTTTGAGCTCAGTAATCTCATTTGTAGTTTAAATCTCTCACTGTGTGAACCTCAATTTAATGGGATTATGAGAAGTTAAGCCTGTAAACCAACAGTCTGCAGCATTCACGGTCTGCAACATCTGCTCCCTATATTTTGTCTTCAGAAACTTAATTTTGAGGGTGCATGCCAGAATTAAATTATACTATAGACTGAAAAATGTGTTACAAAAAATTAATATTCAGAGCATAGGTTATCAAACCATAATATAAACATGCTATTTTAAAGTCATTAATTTTTAGACCTAATTCCCATTTAAACAAGCCTTATGTCTTCAACTGAAAGCAATGGGAAATTCAGAGAGACTTTGTAGCAAGATCTGAACGTTACAATAGAATGAGCTTTAAAAAAAAAAATAGAAATTGGAGTTACCTAAACAACTTGATGCAACACTTGCACCAAAACTGACACTTATCAGTGTAAATTCAATGATTATATGTAACACAGGCCATTTTTTTTATACTCATTACATGAAATGTAAGGAAAAACTATTCAAGCTAATTCAAACATATACACACACACTTTTCAGCTCGTTGTTTCTATGAAACATATAATTAATGTTTGAGTTTATAATAAACTAATTCTATCATAAACAAAGTATACTTTGTAAAACAAAAACAAACACAAACAATCATTTTTGAAACTTCCTGTTTAAAAACTGAAGAATATTGATGGGGAAGTAACAGCAAGTTCAGTATCTGTCAGGTTAGCAGTTACTAGTCCAGTCAGAGAAACCCGAATTTCCTGTGGAATAAGGAACTTGAAAGTTTGTACTTGAAGAAAATGATGAAGAAAATTAATCTGAATTTACTAAATTGCAGACTAAGGAATTAACAGCAAAATAGTTTGTTCAGCTGGAAGTGGGGGGGAAATCACTGTAGTCACGTTAAGAACTGTCTTCCAGGAAATACAATGCAAAACTGAGTATGCAAAATGAAAGTACAAGTAGCTCACATTCAGAAGTCATGACCTTTTAAGTGTGGTGCTAATGCTGCAACGATTCCAGCAACTGTTTCCATTCATACTACAACTCATTAAATCAAAAACTTTTTTTTTATTAGACAGATCAATTATCAGGCCAATTATTTACTGATGGTCAGACTGAATCACTAAATAAGAACTTGCATAAGACACGTGTTAGTACTGCAATTACTTTCCTACTTATGGTTTCTACTAACCAAACAAATTCTGTTGTTACAGAGGTAGCATACAAACTATTACTTTGAAAGGGTTCTAAAACTTATGCAAACTTCGAAATGTAAATTACCCAACAGCACATATGCAATGACACATACTTATATATATTAAACTCAAAAAACAACATTGTGACTCATTTTTTAGTTTTATATCATGCAAGCATAACATCTACTCCAAACTCCTGACTAGATGGGAGAGAAAGGCGATAGCAAGACCAATTATGATATTGGAAAATATTTTCTAAAGTTTGAGAATTTAAAAAGTGGAATCTCTTCTCAGTCACTTATACTTTCATATTTTGAGCAAACATAACATCATGATTAAGGGACACAAATGAAGTGAGTGATGGTAATGCTATTTTAAGGTTAGCTATCTTCAAGTTTCAACAAACACGCGCTACCTAGGATCTATAAAGACACTAGAAATCTTTTACAGTGAGAGAAAAGAAGATGGATTTTTAACTCATTCAGGAGCAGTCTACTGTCTCCACATAGGGCTCTGCTTTGTGATGGTAACGTGTGCTCTTAGGGATTTAGACAGTTTTAGGAAGTCACTGCTGTCAGGTAAGAACCTATACATAACTTTGATGCCAGGCTCATTTGGTACTAATGAAGATTATTTAATCTAAGCTATCCTACTTTCTTTTGAAACAGACCAGGAATATCCACAGTAAGATACAGATACAGAGTTTCAATTGATAAGGTAACAAAGTCTGAAATCACTTGATTCATCACCTACATGTCCGAGCATAGTCTACACAGCCCATTTCAGATTTCTTGTTACCTGTGAGGCTTGTGTATCTGCAAATGCTTCCCTCATGGCTGTCAAATGCAAAACAAATTGTCACTGGTCACGCTAATTTGAAAATGATAACTTTAAAACCAAGATATCCTAAATGGAGAAAAAAAACCCACAAACTTTTGCCTGAGGTTCTATACTTGAGGTACTATATATTATAAAACAAAAAACTGAAGAGAAAGCATGCCAAAGGTACAGGAAATTATGGTTCTAGGTTTGGACTCATTTAAATGTGCTTTGGAAAGTTGCCTAATTAAACATTTTCCTTAAATAGTATTTAATCTTAAAGAACAATAAATGCATTGCAATCTATTTTTGATAACAAAATATCTTAGGCTAACTTAGCCGATCCCTTTATTCTGTTTTTGTTCAAGAAATGGCCAAAACGGTTTCCTTTGTCCACATTTTAACTTTGGAAATCTGAAGCTCTACAAACACTTTATACCTTGATGCACGTCCTGCCGCCCTTGTCCTCTGGAAGAGTTTTTCACTGAATGAAGTTCTATAGCTTAATGGCCTTCGTCTGTATTCACATTTCATGTACACCAAAGCCAAAGACGGAAGAAGGAAGCAGGATAGGTTGATGGGAGAGGACAGGGAAGTCATTAGCATAGCAAGCAAAAAGAAAAGAGACTGCATAATATTTAAAAAAAAACCACACTGAACGAACAGAAATACGATTAGTAAGAAATTATTTCATGATGCTCACTTTTCTGAAGATTCTGCTTACTCAGATTGAACGTATTTTCCTCAAATAAACACAGAAATATCTTCACTAAACTTCTAAATATTATTCTTATTGCTGCTTATGACAAAAAAATTATAAATTCACAAAATTATGGATTCAAAATCAGGGCTAAATTTTATATCAGAGGTGATTTTGCCCTCATGTACTTAAAGATACATAAGCAAGCTATAAAATTTAAATGCTAAACTAAGAAGTAAAACTTAACAAGTAATAAGATTGCATATGTCTGAACAATTCAAGATCAAAACAGAACCATTAGCAAGATCGCTGCATTAAGATACAACAACCTATGACAAGTAAAATTTAAGCTGCAGTACCACAGAAGAGGTCTGGCTTGGTATTTCAAATGATTAGATAACCATGAAATATTAAAACTAATCAAACAAGACCCACATGCAATATAAAATAACCATCATATAAAAACCTAATATAAGAAAAACACACTTATTCTCTCTTTATTAATAAATTAATACAAGAAAATGTAGCATTCTTAATCTTTTTTGCAATACTCTTGGTAATAATAATGTATTAGCATTAAGATTTCATTCTCATTTTCCATTTCCAACATGAACCAATTCTTAAATACACTGCATAGAGTTATAAGTAAAACCTATTTTATCTTTTACACACACACACTACTGCTATTATATTTAACTAATATAAAACGCCAGTGAATTTTTAAACCTCTGCAATTCATAGTATCAGGATATCAATTTCTCTAAAGGCTTTACATGTATTTCAACTATCTTAAAAGAAAAACAACAGTGCAGAATCTCATCGTTACACAGAAATTCAAAAGAAAAAAATAGTATTTAAGCTGGTATGAAGTTAAATCCTTTTCTGTGTGTTAATGAACGACTGTAATGAACTATTTTAGTTAATGAATTACTATTAACTACAACTTTTACCTTTCAGGAAAGAACTTACTCTCGCCAAAGTACCTCACTGGTTATTTGCCTGCTTGGTAAAGGAACCAGAGAGAAATCGCTTCCTACCCTAGCCTGTCCACATCCTATGCATCTCCAGGTATTCCTTCCTGCTCTTCCTTTTACACAGTTCTTAACTTGTTCTATTACATTTCTTTAATCTGCTGCTTGTTCTACAGCTCCTTTTCAAGAATCATTCTGTTGTGATGCCCAACATGAAGTGGAGAAAATCAGGCAGTTCATCAGGATGAACTTACACTGTTCAAATTATTTATTTTTATATACAACATATAATTAAATGCTCTGTCATTTGACAGACTAATGTTTGAACAAATTTCCCCTTTAGTCCACAGGAAATTTATATCTCGCATCAGACTGAATGGAGGAAGTACCACCTAAATTACCTCGTATTTGAATAAAAATAACCAGTCACAAGCAAACTGTATGCAGGTTCCGTAACTCATACAAACTAAGACAAAGTCATTTTAACGTGTTACCAATAATCTACTTATATGAGTATTAACCATGCCTACTTAAGTATACTGCTTTGAAAAAAAAGTATTAAAAAGTTACATACATCAAACCAGGAAATCAAGAGACTTTCACATTCATCTCTTCCTTTCCATAGGAGGTATATCACTGCTTCTCTAGACAGCAATTTTATGGAAAGAAACACAGGACAGGTATCTTGAAAGAGTCTGTCACTTTAACTGCTTAACAGCTGGACGAAACTGTTCATAAATGATAAGGTGTCAAGAGCTTTTGGGTATAAGGCAGGTGAAAGAATAAATTAATTGTAACACAAGTTATCTTAACTAATATTGTAATACCTGTGTTTTTGTTCTTGCTGCAGTAACTGAGCTGCTATTTTTCTTAAGTCAGTCACTTCTTTGAGTTCATCATCATCCTCAGCCAGCAGTTGTTCTTTCTGAAGTCTGAAAAACATTAGTGCTTTACTAAGTCAGGCAAGTCAAGACACAGAAATGGCAACATTAGTGGACAATAACTAAAAAGTGTTTCCTATAAGCTTATTTTCTGTCCAAGGAGCACTATGTGTTCAATATGAGATTTCTTTCCTCCATATGCAAGGAGCTTAAAGCAAAACCACCCTCACCCCCCACAGTCGGTAAAACCTTCCCAAAAAAGATCAAGAAGATTTACCTTTTTTCATCTGCCCAGTCCTCATTCTGTTCTGTTTTCTGGGATTTCTCAGGATGTTTTCCCCGTTCCTTACACAGAATGAAAAATAAACTTAGACTTGAATTAAAAAAAGCAAGCCTGCTGAATGGTTTTTCTTTTGTCAAGCTATGCTACCTTGATATAAGACAGCAATGGTCCAATCTGTACATCTCCTTGCTCAGGAACAGCTCCCTCTTCTGCATTCGGATCAATGTAATCATACACCTCCTGGTCTAGTAAGGATTGATGAAGAATGGAAAAGATGAAATTAAACAGTTCTCTCAACCAAATGTTATTCCTGAGAGAGGTAAGTACTTATGAAAAATGTCAGATAAAGATAAAACAATGAAATCATGTCTCCTTGAGCTAGAAATAATCTTTTTTCTTTCTGGCCTTGTCTATTTGTCATTATTACATTGTTTTCTGAAATGATGAAAATACAATGCCAACATGTGATCGTATCATTTTGTGCAATTTTCTTATATTAGTTTACTATGCAAAAGTATTTCTGTTACCTAAAATGACAGCTGCACAACAGATATTACCTTTCTGTGGATCGAGTTTACTTCCCATTACATGATTGTCATTCCTTAATGTCTGTTCCCTTGTTGATTCTGATACCTGGGAGTGAAGGCTGATTGTATCATCATCAGATGGCTGCAAAGACAGTCACATTTAATACAGAACTTACATATAAATTACATTATTATATGATTTGCTAAGAACTCACAAATTATAGAGCACCTGACCCTATCATGAGGGATGGCTCCCAGGACAGAAAAAATATCAAGTCAGGAGGTGTTGGTGTTTTTTTTTTTTGGGGGGGGTGGGAAGGGGGTTTAAGAGAATTATAGCTTAGGGAGTAACAGACAACTGTTCAATACATTTTATAATACTGAAATACAGTGTTTTGTTCAAAGAGGTCCAGTCCAGCCCCTGTCAGTGCACTAAGAAAACTGCACTTAGATACTTTATCTAAAGCCTCCAACTACTTTGACCCTTGTTGGGCCACTGGGGAAAAACAAAAAAAATCACAGCTTTACTTCTAATCATTTGGAATTTTCTTAAAAAAACAACTAGTAATACTCCTTGTTCTACAGTTTTCCCACTAACAATCACTCTGCATTTGTAATAATTCTCTTCATAAAGTTTCAAAAAATCTTTTGTTCTACACTATTCAGCTTTGACATCACTGTTATTAATTACAGCTCCTCAATCTAGACTTCCACAAATACACAGATAACTTGTAGGGATTTTTATTCTTCACCTTAAACCTAGCAGATCATCCAGAAGTTTAGTAATCCTAATTGTTGTTTAAATTTTAACAACATATACAACACTCAAGTTTAGTCCAAATAAACTTTCATTTTCTTACGTACATTCATTTCATTAATAATAAAAGAAAGTTTCAAATAAATTTTGTCCTTCGTGTAGAAAATAATTATGCACCTAACACATTAAAAGATCCAAACAACTCCTTAGGTCAGAATTCAGTTTTAAAATGTATGAAGTTTGGACTGGAATGAACCTTAACCAGAAAAGTTGAAGCAATATGTAAATAATTTGTGTCTGATACTGGCAATCTAATGGTTTAAACTCAACTGTACAGATATTCAAAGAACGTTAAATGCAACTTAGTTATTTTTCAAATGATACAAAATACACAGGAAAAAAATTCTAAAAAACAGAAATTGCACAAATTCAACTGAAAAATACTCACTTCCGTTGTGGACAACCTTTTATCCCCATTATCACTCCCGATGCCAGAGTCTGGTCCATGATTTTTATTGGGATAAAAGTCCTCCATGCTACATTAAGAAAAACAACACACAAAAAACCACACAGGAATGAAAGAAACAGTAGTTTCACTTTTCTAAAAGAAAATAAACATCCTTTTAAAAATACGTTCTCTATACTCATCTACAGTTGCTGATACAGAATATTTGCACAATGCCCCATGTGCAAAGAACAAATTCTTAATCTCCTACAAGAGTTGTTCAACAAAAAAGTATCAAAGCAAAGTTAAAGTGGAAATGATCAATTACAGTACTCTCTCTGTATCTATGCAATTTTAGAATTGTTCTATTTCATTCAAAAATACTGTCTTGAGAAAAGAAGGCTTCCTTTGGAAAACCGCAATTCCTTGAATTCTACTGGCAGACATTGTTTTCTATTAGTAGCAAATATACCTTCCCTAATAGACTGTCATATTATAATGGTTTAACTCTGCCTGAATATCTATGAAATATTTCCTCCAAATTTATGCCTTTCGAAGACATAAAACTGACAGCATCAGCAGGATGTGTCTTCTAACTGTGCACTGGAGCTTGGTTTACATCGTAAGATTATCTGGAAAGTTTAATTAAACAAGTTCTCACTACTACAAATATGATATACCGTGGTAATACCCACGACTTTGTTCCTTTGCAATCCATTTTAGCTGTAGACCTTAAGTTCAGTGGAGGCTTTTGGGGAGCAGTTGTGGACCGTAGTTTTTAGGAGCATTTAGAAGCGATCTATAGGCACTGTGGACTAATTCCCTATGGCACAGTTGCCCAAGACCAAGACCATGGACTGAATCTGATGGTTCAGATGATTCTGTGTAAGCTTTATTCATAACTTTCATCTTTCCTTCAGCATTGAACACAGAGAGGCACAGGTTGCATGTGACATTTTAAGAAAACAGGCAAAGAGAGTGTATTGTTCCATATGGTTTCCAATGGCAAGCCAACTGACAACAGAAAATACAAAAGCATTCCTATTTAATTACTCAAGAGGTACTCAGTACAGAAGTCCAATAAAATATTCTGCACTTTTTGACCTCGACTAATCTAATTAAAAAATCCATGGTATTTCACTGATATTTAAGTTAGTTTCCCTAAATATGTATGTGGGAGGCAGACTTTCCATCCAACAGACTAACTCTATATTCAAAGACTTTTATGGGAAGTTCTCATCTACTGTTTTGACATATCTGTTTGAGAAATAAATAGCTAAGTTTTCCAATAAATAGATTTAATACATCTTTGTTCTGATTTCCAAATCTTTAGTGAGTACAATGAAAGTTTTTCATAGCAGCTCACCTGAGCCAATTAAGCTTCCAGTAACACAAGCTTAGAAAATAAATATTATGACTTCTAATTGTTCTTTATTTAAAGTATTGAAATTACAGCTATTATCTTTAATAAACAGATCACTTTGTAGCAAATGCTAAAGTAAAATAAAACAAAAAACCCACTCACCTGTCTGTGAGTGGCTGGGAGGGGATTCGTTTACCTAATGACGGAAGATCCAAAGAATCTGGTTTTTTATCTATTCTGAGGCACGCCTGAATGCTGAGGAATTTAAATATATGTACTTTACCCTTCAAACATATCTGTTGGGAAACAAATGAACAACAAAAAAAAATCTTAATTACATAGCATGTCTTTTGAAAATGCACCCCAACAAATACCTTCTACACTGAGTTTGTACCCACAACTTCCCACTAGGAGAAATAAAGCCAAAAAAATGAAAACTTGATTGGTGTAACTTAGAACAGCTTCTTCTTTCTTAAGATCCTAGTGCAAATTTCTGAACTAGAACACTTTAATACTAACCTGTGCTGGTGGTATCTGCATTGGATTGTTATCCAAAACTATAACTTGTAAGTGACGTAACTTTCTGTAACAAAGTGGAATTTCTGTAATTTTATTACAAGAAAAATCCAGCTTTACCAAGGGAAGCTCTCCTAATTCTCCATTGGGGGAAACAAAAAAAAAAAGGAATCAGATATCTTCTTAACACTTTACTTAATTTATCTACATTAAAGAAATGAAGACTAGTAGCTTACCATCTGGCAACATATGGAGATTATTTCTTCTTATGTTTAATTCTCTAAGTGACTGTAATTTTCCTATCTGCTGGGGAAGAACCTGAAGTTCATTGCAGCTAATATCCTAAGAAAGATATAATTAATAAATTAACTGAAAATCTTAAGTTAAACAAAGGAAAACAAACTGCTATCAAAACTACTATAAAGCATACTATAAAAACAAGAAATCCTCTCTCTTGTTTTTTCCACAAAGGGAAGTAGTATCACAACAGATCTCACTGTTTCTTCAGTATTTAGTGATTCATGTTTCAGAAACTCAATTCAAAAAGTTAAACCAATGAATGATGAAAGACTGGTTTTGAGATTAAAACTGTAGCCTAGGAATCAGGAGTTCCTGGTGTAGTTCCCTTATCAGTTAAAAACTTCTTGTGCTACTGCTGGCAAATGATTTGCATTCTGCTCCTTTTATAAAAATTCTTCTTCTGTAAAAAATCTTGAACCAATCCATGCAACTAAAAATTTACAAAGAGCAGTAGCAGGCTCACCAACTTTTTAGATACAAGCACGAGAGGATGACAGAGCTGCACCAAGCGAACACAGACTACAGCTATTTCTGCCACTAATTTAACATTTATGTAGTCCAGACCGAGTCAACAGTCACATTGATATGACTGTTTCTAACCTTTTTTATTTCTGATTCAATAAAATTGACTTCAGAGACTAGTTTCCTAGACGAGATAACAATGATAGATATCTATTCATCTGATGAAAAACTGGAAGCTGATTTTAAAGACAAGCTAAGTCAGTAACTAGAAGCCAGGCCTTAACCAGACAAATCCAGCCTCCTTCTCCACTACACACTTCCAGAGCTTCAGCTTAGGCACTGCTTATCTACTTTTCGCAACAACGATGCCTGCACATAGCTGGACGTCTCAGAAAGTACAGGCGGCTTGGGATCAACTGTTGTGTATCTATTGCAAATTGTTCTCTGTCCATGTCACCAAATTTAAGGTTAGATTTCCTTGCTAAAAGCACCTTTCTAGCGCACGGCTTAGTTGTCAACTTTTTTTTTAATTATATATATATTACTTATGTTCTAAACAGGTGTAACACAGGTACTGGAATGAAACTGTCTGGTATGTCCTTAGTCTGTGTCATCAAGCACACATTCTAGGTTTAACAATTTTGAAAACTAAGCCAAAAATACAACTACAATTCTGAAAAACATTCACTTCCTGAAAACAATAGCAGTGATCCCACCTTGAAATCCTATGATGCTCAAGTGAGCATAAAGACTTTCTCACCAAAGAGTAGAGGACACTAGAAAAGCCTCACAAACATTCAGAATCTCTCATATTACTCATAAATTAAAAAAGAATGTTGATTTATAGCTCAGAAATTAGGTCGTGTTAAAAGAAATCTCCAGGGCATACACAGCTACTCTGGAAACAAGATAAGGACTGCTTGCAATGACCAAAGAAATCATACATAATGAATTTTTTTTAAGAAAAAAAAAATAAAAATCAGACCTAGTCCAAGTGCCAGGTCGGTGAATAATTGTGCATAGTTCTCCAAAACACATGAGCTTAACACGGAGTAATGACCAGAAAATCCCAGAACATTAAGAAATATAGAGAAAATAATGGATGACAAAGCACAAAACTTTAGTATGCCATAGGATAAAAATCATGTTGCACAGACACATAACCTGAATTTCACACACCATTCTATTCACCCCAATCAAAATAATGGAATAGCGAAATGGGGGG